ACTGGGTGGTGTCACCGGAGATTGTGTGGTGTCACCGGGGATGTGCGGGGTCACTGGATTTAGTTTGGTGTCACCGCAGATGTGCTGGGTCACCAGGGATGTGCCCACCGAGGATAGTTTGGGGTCACCGGAGATTATTTGGTGTCACCGGAGATGTGCGGGGTCCCTGGAAATTGTTTGGTGTCACCGAGGATGTGCAGGGTTACCGGAGATTGGTGTCACCGGGGATGTGCGAGGTCACTAAATCTATAAAATAAAGTATGAAATACAGCCCTGTGACTCCTGACAATGCACACACGTACATCCCCGCGCACCTCTACATTACCACCAAAACTCAAAATCGCTTACAAAGGTGGAAATGTCCTTTTTAAGCCTGTTCCCTGGGTGCTGAAACCAGCAGCAAGTGAATATAGCATGGGCTTACCCCAAGAATCAGACAAGAATCAGACAACACTGACTTTGGAGTGGAAACATGAACTGGTTTATTGAAGAAAGCACACAGAGTTTATAAATCACAGAATCAGATAAGAGTTCAGTGTCTTATTTCGAACAATCCCCTCCCCCAGACAGCCGGGTGTCACATTAATATTCCTTAAGCGCAGACACTCTTTGAAATGAATGTCCTTAATTAGATAAGAGCTTGATCACATCACCCTAAACCATGGCCACTCCAGACAACCCTGCTGCCTCCACAAAATTACATTTAGCAGAGATGGTATCCAGACAAGATGGAAGGCCGGATGGTTCAAATCAAGTCAAATAGTGACATGCTCTCTCTCTAGATAAAATATTAAACAGGAAAACACACAAGGCAAACAAAGTTCTCTGGGGTAAAAATCTCTGCAGCCCTAGGTCCGTCACAGGGACTGCCTGCAATTCACTGATAGCCCCTAGCCAAAAGTTGTCATCAGATGAGGTCTGAAAATCCACCAGCTAAAACTTGGTAGACATGAGCACTGGCAAAAAAATTGGATTTTGCGTTATTTCGTTTTATGGGATTCGGGTCCGAAATTCAATTTGTGTTCGGATTCAGACAAAATTCGTTAGCGGTAATCTGGACGAAATTTCGTTGCAGCAAAATGACATTAGAAAATATAAAAATTGTTGTTTTTTTAGTCTGCAGAAGAGGAAAAAACCATTCGGGTCTGTGAGGCGTTCGGGAGTTCCCGAATGCTATGTAGTATTTGACAGCTGAGAATGTCAAATGAGCGGAGCGAGCCGTGACGCTCTGCCCATCTGTTTACTTTCGAGCAGGAATGTCATTTTGCAGCGAGTTTTCGTCGGGTTCGGACGGTCATCGTGTGTCGAGACTTATTTTTATTGCGGCGGGGGTCGTGCATCGTGATTGACGCTGGATTACATAGATGGAGCCCTTTTTTTTTTATCAAAGGAATAGTCAAAAATGGTGTTTTTTTTTTTCTTCAACTAAAGGATTTTATCAAAAGTCTGGACTTTTTAATACCTATTTGATTTAACCCTTTAGTGAAGGGGTAGGCCTTACTCATTCACGGGGGGGCGGCATCTGGGTGCCCCCTTAATTAAAGGGGTACCCCGATGCAAAAAAAGCCCCCTTGCCCGCAGACCCCCACAACCACCGGGTAAGGGTTGTGGGGAAGAGGCCCTTGTCCCCATAAGCATGGTGACACCCCCCCCAATGCCGAGGGCATCTGGTCTGGTAAGGCCCCCTTTCCTGCCCTGCCAGTGATCTGATCAATGGTCTGGTAGGAATGTTAGGGGGGACCCCACAGTTTTTTTCCCCCCATTTTTTTTGAGCTGGGGGTTCCCCCTTAAAATTCCTACTAGACCTAAACAATTTTTTTTATGTCATTTTGCTGCAACGAAATTTCGTCCAGACTCCCGCAATGAATTTCGGAATTGGAAATTCGGATTCGTTTGCATTCGTTATATCTGGAATTCAGATACGTCCGAATTTCGGTTTGGAACTAAACAAATCGCAGATGTCTAAAACTTGGAGACTTAAGACCTTTGAACAGAAGACGAGGTGGCAGCCCTGCAAATCTGGGAAACACTACCCTGATGCTGAAATGTCCACAGATCTGGGGGAGTGCACCATGACAGAAAAGGGTAAGACCCAAACTTTAAGACCATAAGTTAGAACAATGATCTGCCTGAACCGCTGAGAAATGTTGGCATGAGAAAGCAGGTCACCCTTTGCTTCTACTGCAGGGCCCAAGTCTGGGATATTCCAAGCGATGAACTAGTTCCAACGCTGTAGGTTCCAAATACCATTCGAATACCTACGGTCTTACAGTTCAAAAAAGGGCATCTGTGGTGCTCAAGGTGACCGCACGGATGGCGCCGTGCAAACAGTAGTATTAAGTTGAAGGATTTTACCGGCACACACTTGGAAAGTCAAATGTTATTACATTGATCTATTTATTCAGTGAAGGATGTCCCATAATGTCATATAGTGCTAACGTTTCGGATCCTCGCAGGGATCCTTCATCAGAGCGACACAGTGACAGAGTACATTGATGAGCATGCAGATACACTATATTGCCAAAAGTATTGGGACCCCCTCCAAATCATTGGATTCGGGTGTTCTGTGAAATTTCCTTGCTACTAAATATCCCACGGTCAACTGTTAGTGGTATTATAACAAAGTGGAAGCAACTGGGAACAACAGCAACTCAGCCACGAAGTGGTAGGCCACGTAAAATGACAGAGCGGGGTCAGCGCATGCTGAAGCGCGCAGAAGTCGCCAACTGTCTGCAGAGTCAATAGCTACAGACCTCCAAACTTCATGTGGCCTTCAGATTGGCACAACAACAGTGCGTAGAGAGCTTCATGGAATGGGTTTCCATGGCCGAGCAGCTGCATCCAAGCCTTATATCACCAAGTGCAATGCAAAGCGTGGGATGCCGTGGTGTAAAGCATGCCGCCACTGGACTCTAGAGAAGTGGAGATGTGTTCTCTGGAGTGACCAATCACGCTTCTCTGGCAATTCGGTGGACGTGTCTGGGTTTGGCAATTGCCAGGGGAACGGTACTTGCCTGACTGCATTGTGCCAAGTGTAAAGTTTGGTGGAGGGGGGATTATGGTGTGGGGTTGTTTTTCTGGGGTTGGGCGTGGCCCCTTAGCTTCATATAATTGCTGGTGCTGAATGTTTGCAGGGATTCCTGCTATCATATCACCTGGTGCCGATCTCGCAGCGTCCCCGGTTGCCATGGCCACCGGTGTCTGTGTGTGATCCCCGTCGTGATTCCTCAGTGAGCTGCGCATGCGCCCTGGAGGCCGTTGACCCGCCCCTGGCGTCTGCTCGTTGCTAGGATGCGGCCAGAGCGGCCGGACTGTAAGCCGTGGCGGCTTGTATTTCAGTAACATCAAGCTAGGGGGAGGCTAAGGGCCTGTACGGCACCAGATGGAAAACATTAAACAGTGTGCATGGGACCAGAGACCTCCGAACAGCATCTTGTATAAAACATTATTTGACACGTCAATTGCACAAACAATATACCGTATTTTTCGCTCCATAAGACGCACTTTTTTACCCCCAAAAGGAGGGAGAAAATCTGCCTGCGTCTTATGGAGCGAATCCCGACTCCCGAGACATGCAGTTTCGGGCGCCGGGCGAGTAGTAGGAGCCACTGCTCAGCTTTAATACGAGTGATCTAATGAGATCACTCGTATTAAAACCGAGCAGCGGCGACGATCGAGATTACCATAGAGTAAACGAAGAACAGACGTTCTTCGTCTGCTCTGTGTGATCACTGAGACCGTGGCGCTGTAATCACAGCGCCACCTGTCTCAGCGGTCACTAACTGCAGCTTCTGTCACAGCTTCTGTCATAGAAGCTGTGACAGAAGCTACAGTCTGTCGAGTGCTCCATAAGGCGCACCGGACCTCCCTGCGTCCTATGGTCCGGTGCGTCTTATGGACCGCAAAATACGGTATATATGACATTAAACAAAGCAATGGAGCAATCCTCGTACACCTGTGATATCCGGATATTCCATTCCTAATATTTGGAACTCTGAATTTCATATTACAAATTCCATATTCCCAACTCCAAATTCCATACTCGGAATTCCATATTCATAACTCCAAATTCCATATTCCGAATTCCATATTCCATATTCCAAATTCCATATTCCAAACTGCGAATTCCAAACTCCAAATTCCATATTCCGAATTCCATATTTCAAACTCCAAATTCCATATTCCGAATTCCAAATGCCATTTTCCATATTCCGAATTCCATATTCCATTTTACATATTCCAAATTCCGAATTCCATATTCCAAATTCCATTTTCTAAATTCCATTTTCCATATTCCAAATTCCATATTCCATTTTCCATATTTCGAATTCCAAATTGCGTATTCCAAATTCCATTTTCCATATTCCATTTTCCAAATTCCGTATTACAAATTCCATTTTCCAAATTCCATTTTCCAAATTCCATTTTCCAAATTCCATTTTCCAAATTCCATTTTCCAAATTCCATTTTCCATATTCCATTTTCCAAATTCCGTATTACAAATTCCATTTTCCGTATTCCATATTCCATTTTCCATATTCCATTTTCCAAATTCCATATTCCATTTTCCATATTCCAAATTCCATATTCCATATTCCAAATTCCATATTCCATTTTCCATATTCCAAATTCCATTTTCCATATTCCAAATTCCATACTCCATTTTCCATATTCCATTTTCCGTA